GCCAAAACTGGCTCCAAACCGTGCAATCTGCAAAGCATCCCTGGCTACCTGGGCCCGCGCGCAGGGCCGGGTCTTTCCCCCCCCTTGCCCAGGTGACCAGAGCATCGCCTCCCAGGCGCCAGGCTTTTGTCTGCAGACAAGGAGCGAGATCCCCGCTGTGAGAGATTCAACAGCAGCCTCTCAGGCTGGCTGAGACAGATCTCTGGAGAGGGGCACCGACACATTGTTCATGCCAGAAGTATTGCTCCCAGGTAGTGCTGTATAGTAAGAGCTCTGCTCTGGGGGCTCTTGAAGGATCCCCTGACCAGGGGTCCCTTTTCAGGGTGAAATGGGGTAATGGGAGTGAAGGCGATGCAGCCTGTGCTGCTCCTGTCTCTCCTGTGGAAGTGTGTGGGAAGTATGAGGCAAAGAAGAAAAAGGGAAAAAACAAGAACAAGGCAGATGGGGAATAGATCAGGAGTTTGAGCAGGAAAAAAACAGAAGCAAAGGTGGTGAAGGAGACCCCAAAGCAGAGCCAGCAAAAGATTTTTGAGAAGTTCCTCTGGGCAGTGGCTGGAGGAAGGTGAGGAGGCGGAGGAGGAAAAGAAACAATGGATACCCTCAGACTACCCTGAGACTTGTGCCCTCGAGAGCAGGGAGAGGTGGGGCAGGCTCAGAAGAAGAAAGAAAGGAGGGATGGGAGGGCTCACTGAAAGTGAAATCGGAGAAGTGAAGGATTGACAAACACCTGACAGATGAAAGAGGGGGGAAATGGAGGGCAAGGCACAGAATAGGAGCCATGGGTCCAAGATGGCAACAAGACGGAGCATTTGGGAAAGAGAAGAAGAAAGAAGTAAGGGAAAACCCATGATGAAGGGTCCCTGTGCAAAACAGTGGGCACTGGTTACCTCGGTCATTGCATCAGCCAATGTCAGAGGTATTGTACGTGTGCAGGAATGGGGGCATTCTTAGCTCAAGTACCAATAGAAGTCATCTGCCTACAAAACTGATATATGAAGGGCGGTGTAGCAAGTGCCCATCTCAGGGGTGGATGTGACGTCCCCCATTCGTTCCTTGCCCACAGGCTCCCTGCATACCCAGGCAGTGCAGCCGCAGCCAGGGGCAGCCTGTGCCAGGCTGACAGCCAGCTTGGGAACCCTGGACTCAGCTCCTACTGCATCTCCTCCACCAGTTGGGGGCCTGGCATGAATGACGCGTGCCCCCGGAGGCTGGGGGCATGGCGACCACCCACAGGTGGTGGCGGTGGTGGCAGCGAGCAGGGAGCTCCTGCAGGCAGCCACATTGGTGTCAGCAGCAGGAGCGAGCTGAGCGGGGAGCTCCCGCAGGTGGCTGCGGTGGTGTCGGTGGCGAGGTGGAAGCAAGGCAGGAGAGGGCACTGCCCCAGGGTGAGTCTCTCTGTGGCTCTCAGAAGTATTTCACTGAGGCGAAAGGCACAGCAGTACAGATGGCACAAGCAGCAACTAGGCTGGCTGTGGCTAACTCCACCAAGGACACAGCAGAGCACTGGTTAGCTCAGGTGCACACGTGGCCCAGCCTGAGATTGGGCGGTGCTGGGCACTGTACGGACTCCCCAGGCTGAGATCAGGGAGTGCTGGGCACTGTGGAGACCCCCATGCCAGGATCAGGGGTGCCAACAAAGCCCTGGCCCTGCAGGGACCTCTGACTGCTTCCTGGTCCTGGAGGGGGCAGCAGTTCTGGGGTACAGTTCCCCTGCCTGTCGTGTGTCTGTGTGAGGGACCTGCCACGATTTGTCCACGAGGTGCCGCTTGGCTTCACTGAGAAATCCATGCAATTTCTGTTGCAATAGGGCCGCTACACACGGGGTGGAAAGGTGCAATATCCTTACCGGTTGGGCAGATCAAGGTTCATTAAAATTACGTTTTGTTGGGCGGAAACCCTCTACGCTTCGTACATTTCCTGTTAGCGCACAACACTGGCGCACTCGGGGGATTTTGGGGGTGCCCACCCACGGGACCACCAAGGTCCCAGCAGGAACCCCCTCCCCCCAACCACTGGTTCAGGGCCCTGTTGGGCACTGTGCCCCTTGTTGCCAGCAGCGGGTGCACCCACACCTCAGGGCAGCTGGCAGGGAAGGGGCTGTGGCTGTGCTGCTCACGTCCCCTTCCCCGCTCTCCACCCAAGGCATGTGTGTAGACTTTAACTGAACGCATAGCACTGGGCCCATGGGTGCTCCAGGCCTCGAGCACCCGCCAAAGAAATGTAGTGGGTGCTCAGCACCCACGAGCCAAGTCAGGCAAGCCTGACTGAAGCCATACGCTGTGTCGTCATGCAAAACGAAAAGCATCCGCTCGGGCCGGCGCCTATGCCTGAATGCTTAGATTGGGGCTGGCCTGAAACCACGACGTAGTGACGCTGATTAAACCCAGGGAAGCCTTTAATCCATGCTTACCAACACATGGATTAATGGCCTCCCTGGGGCTCATCAGGGTAATGAAGCTGTGGTTTGGGAAGTGGCCGCCAGCCCCAGGGAATCAGCCGCCTGCCTCCTCGGGTCGGGCGTACCCCGCCGCCCCGCAGCGCCCCCCGCACTGCCCCCCTAGCTCAGGCTCCGGCGCCTAGGGCGTGCCCAGCCGAGCAAGGGGGTGTGGCTGTGGGCGGGGCATGCCCATACTGAGAGTAGAGCCTGGGACTGTGGGCGGGGCATGCCCACATAAGGCAGGGTGCGCGGCAGTGGGTGGGATGTGCCCATATTAGGAAGGCGGCCGCGAGAGGCGTGGCCTGTGTCCCAACAGCAGCACGTGCGCGCCTGGGGGCGTGGCCATGCACCCTCGGACCCCAGAGCAGTAGAGCTGGGCTGGAGGGGCAGCTGCCGCAGTGCACTGTGGGATGCCTGGAGGG